TGCAACACGTTGCAACTCCAAAATTTTATAAGCTGCAACTAGTTGCAACTAGGTGATGCTTTATTTGTCACCACGTTACAATAGTTACTGCGTCATCTTTAATTGATACATCAAGAACTTGAAGTCAATAAAAATGGTAACATTATGAAGAACATAGTTATCAGTTAGTTTTTTAAAATAATTTCAAAATAAAATGTTTTAGGCTTTTAAAGATACCTAAATATAGATTACTTAAATTATATTAATTTTTTCATGATATATCTTGTATTATTAGATTCTTTCTTTAAATTTTCTTTTTACTGTGATTTTATAATTTTTTTATTATAAATTACTAATATTTATATAAATTTTCTTTTATGATTATTTTGTATTTATATGTGTGAAATTTTCTAGTTAATTTTTTCTTTCTAATAGCTTAGTATTATTTATATTTAGTAGAAAATTTAGAATAATTATCAGTTATGTAAATTACAGAAATTATTGAAAATGTATAAAAGAAAAATCTCTTGTTACTATAAACTCTCATACTCTAATCTAATAAAAATAACAAGGCTTTTATTTGTAATATTATACTTGTGAATATATTATTAATTTCATGATCATCTTCAAATCTTGACTATAAGTAGTGGATGCTTCTCCGCACTAAATAAGCTATTAACTTTATTATTTTAGTTATTTTAGTTTTATTATTTTTAGAATATATCAATAAGTTCTGTTTATTTTATTTGATATATTAATATAGTTATTTTGTTTTATTTTCTTTATTGGCAGTCTTAATAAGTTCTGTTAATCTCTTAATAATTATATTAGTTTTATTTTAGTTTGTTATATTCTTTTTATTCATTTTCTCTCTTTGTCTCTATTTTAAACTTTGGTAGTAAGTTAGTTTGCATACAATCTCTTATCTTTCGCAACTATAACGAGGCACAAGATAGATCGTACTTTAAGTCATTACCAAGTGTATTTTCCAGCAATTGAAAAATATTCTCAAAATGGTGTAAAATAATATTTCCCAACGTTTGAAAATATTCTCGAAATGGTGGTAAAACAATATAACGATGAGCTTCACCCCACCATAGAATTTGCAAACACCAAGGATAAAAAGTTGTAAAAAAATGAAGTTGTTTTACAGCAGTTTTCGTTGATGCCCTGGATAAGTAAAAACGATAGTCATTAAGTATTTACTTCTATCAGAGATGATGATATTGCCATATTATCCAGGTATATGTTGGTGTCCTGCAGAAATTAACTCTAAAAAAGCTTACTCGAATGATCAAAGGGTAGGTGTTGAGTTGATAGGTTAGACATTGGCAGTGTCCGCGTGTACCTCCATAATGGGCAATGCTTTTGTGTACCTGCTCGATTGTCAATGTGCTAACTTGTTAGGGTGCCAGCGCATGAGTTGTGATGTCTGGGCATTTTCACTAGGTTCGACACGAGCAATGCCTTTGCGTATCTAGTCATCACCCATCGCGGTGATTTAATTTAAGAGTCTAAACATTAGAAATCCTGAGGGATATCGACATCAACTGTGTTTGAGTTAAAGCATAAAGTCCAAAGCAGTCTCTAGTTTCTTTGAGTTTACGCATATATTTTATCATTATATTTATTCACATAAAAGTTATTCTTTCTAAACTTCACTTCATTTATGTGTATTTAGTGTATACAGGGTCTTATTGAATTACATACAGTAGTCTCGTTTATCATGTTAATACGCAAGACGTCGTTGTAAAAATCAAATGCATTTGTTATTTAGTTAAACCTTGTTTTAAGGAAGCTCTCTTCAAACCCGCTCTTAATATGACACACTCTACGTATGTCGTCTTTCATTTTCCATGCATCAAATTACTAAATCATTTCAAAGTTTTACATTATTGCCACCCAAACTTTGATGATGAGAATTATCAGACACATTACCGTTACGCCTACAACATGTATAAAAAGAAGAGCCTTCAATAATACCACGTGGTTTTGTATATTTATAGAAATAGTTCAATTCTCTACTGAACAGTATTTTGTTATTCCATATAATAATCTATTTGACCTATAGCGAACTTTAGACTTAATCTATTTTTGAAAAACTTAATTGTAAAGTAACCTGCTTACATTTAGAAATAGTCATTTACCTCGCCTAGAAACTGATGAAATTTGCTTTGAGCCGCGTAATAATTTAATACAACTTTGTCGTTTACTTCATAATACCGCTTATGATGGTTTGTCCAGGTTTCTTGATAAATAATCCCAAACCCCCATTTTGCAAGATATCCATTCAAAGATGTTGTAATTCAATTTTCGCGCGATCTTTTACTAAACTTGATATTTTTATTTTTGATACTTCATAGTGATAATCTAAACATTTATGATTGGATTTAAAAAATTATGTGTGTATGCTCGATGCTAATGAAGTAGAAACACGTAAGATTGATACTTATCTTCTTTTCCAATTTAAATGTCTACGCAGCAAATGTCAACGCAGCTTTTAACAACAAATCGTTTATTGCCACCGGATTTTAAGCATTAATTGTGCCACATTAATAATTGATGGTGCGTAGAATTAAACTGCGGTTGTGATACAATGTGCTTCAATTATTATCGTTATGTTAGCATTTTTGGACGTGGAAAATTGAGGAGTTGACACGTAAATCTAGTGTTTGTGAATTATAAATGCAAGAAATTTTTGTATATATAAGATAATGTGAAAGTGACAAGAAATTTGTAAAATACTCAAGTTTCAATCAAGAAATTATATATATAAAAAACAAGTTATTAGCATAAACACACTAAACTGCATTATAATTATGGGCGCTTTAATCTCGTTATTAATGTCAAAGTTTGGCCTTTTGAATAAAGATTTGAGGGTTGTAATGGTAATAATTTCTGATTATGCTAAAGCAAAGTTTATACAAATCAAATTTATACTTATTTCAATAATCTTCAGATTGGTCTTGATGCAGCAGGGAAAACGACTATCCTATATAAATTAAAACTAGGAGAAACAGTAACCACTATTCCGACTATCGGTTTTAATGTCGAGACAGTCACGATCAATAAATTAAATTTGACAATTTGGGATATAGGTAAGTCTTCTTAAATCTTTCACAATCAACAATCAAAAAGTAATAATTTTCTACGCAAAACAAAGGAGGCCAAGATGTAATTCGTCCACTCTGGAGACACTACTTTAATTCCGTAAAAGCCTTAATATTCGTAATCGACTCTTCAGATCGGTCTCCAGAACGAATTGAGAAGGCTCGAACAGAATTAAATTGGTTATTGACAGAGGAAGAATTGCGCGATACTGTATTTCTAGTGTTTGCCAACAAACAAGATTTACCAAATGCGATGAGTGTTCAAGAAGTGACACGTGTCTTGAAATTGGAAAATTTGAGAGGAAGAAAATGGTTTGTTCAGGGAACTTGTGCGACTAGTGGATATGGATTATTGGATGGATTTCAGGTATTTCTCTGCTTAATTAAAAACGCATACAAATGGTGATTTTTTCAATGCTAATTTTACATAATTGTTTTGTTATTTTTAGTGGCTGTCAAAAACCTTAAATTAATATTTATTTTATTATTTCGTTTAATTTTGTATTTAATTTAATGACAAAGTACAAAATATCAGGCCAAAAGAAATATTCTAATTTTACGATTTTATAGCGATAGTAATGTAAACTTATGATTTAAAGCATGTAAAACTCTTACAATAAATATTAATAATTATATATTAAATAACTTTTTATACTGTATGGAATCAAATCTTAAATAATTGAGTTGAATCCCTACTTCTTATTGTAATATAATATTTCTTTTAGTTCTTCAACGTTTCATAATCCACATAAGTAAAAGGAATATATTGAGTTTCATATAAATCGGCAATTTCACAATTGCCGATTTTAAAATGTTTCAAATAAAATTGCACCTAAGCGTTGAAGCCTTTAAGCAAGCATATTAATGGGGATTGTCAAAAAAAAATTGGTTCAAAATGTGCTTAATGTCTGGTTATACTTAAATAAAATTAGATTATTTATTTATTTTATTAAAAGTTTAGAATGATTTCGTAAAATCTTTATTTATACACATAAATGCAATTTTCTATTCTGTTTGTTTAGAATGTATGCCAATTAAGCCTTCTGCTTTAACACAGGAATTTCAACATATCGATACATATCATTTTTCATGCATAAATCGATTTACGGAAGTGAATACGTAATGATAAATGACTTCAACACATATAAATTACCGGATTTTTTTTAAAAAATATAACACTGCCACATCACTAATAAATAAACTCAGAGATGGGATCTAACATTTCGAATACTCATGACCGTAGTAAATGTATCAGTGTCAAATGTCGAAGTAATTACGTACTGCCGTGCATGTAATAATTATCACAGACGAATTTATAAAACTATCTTAATAAATAGATGTGATAAATTGATGTACAGTGGGGGCAGCATAAATCATCAACTCATAACTCTTTTATACGTGAAACAAAAAATCCTCTTCAGCCAAATTGTAGCTGGGTCAAATGGTTACAATTTTGCTAAAGAGAATTTTGTTTCACGTATAAACACGTTAAAAATCCAACCTGAGTTGATGATTTATGCTGTTCCCCACTGTACATGTATCTTTCGAATGAATCCCTTTTGAAAAAGATTTACCAATATTGAATATCTTGCCAAAGGAGGTTTTGGATTAATTTATAAAGCATCCTGGTTGTAAAAAATAAATTCAAACAACGCGAAATCATGTTGAAATCGTTATACAATTCAAAGCAAATTACATTAGAATTTATAAAAGAGTTAAAATGAACACCTTTTAAAGTGTGAAGATATTGCTTTTTGTTTTCCAATATAATTAACTTTTGCAAAATCCGATCCATATTGCTCTAAACTGCACTGATGTTTATGAATATAGTTGCCGTAGCATAAGATTCTTTAATTTCATAATTTATAACATAATTTAAACATGATTATCATTACGTATCGGTATACGTATTAACCGAACAAGATCAACAATGGTGAATCTTATCATTATTATCATTAAATAATAATAATAAGCAATTCTTTTCTTCACATAAAAAATCCGTTATTATTAGAGTAATTAATAAATTCTTTATAACGAATTTTAAAAATAATTTAATATTAAATTCAAACACTTAGTTATAAGCGATTTGACTGTATATACAAATGTCACGAAATAAAAAAAAGAAACTCTAATTTAACGAAAGAAAAACATGGTTTATATATATGATCCAAATAATGCTACACTTCACGTACAAAACACACATTAACGCAATCACAATTAATATATTAAAATCCATGTTCTGCATCCACTTCTCCCCGTAAACCTCTTTCTTTATCACTTCCATCTCCTTCATTATCTTTAAATTTATTTTTGTATTCAGAACAGCAACCTTCTATTCATGTATTATCGACAATTAAACATATACATGTACAACCAACAAATCGTAATGAAAGCTGTGTATGGAATTATGTCGATAAAATAATTAATAATGGATATAGATATTGTCAAGTCTTAGTAGAAAAAACTTTGTGGAAATCTTCCTGCTCAACAACTAATATTGGAAACTATCGGAAACCATTTGAATAAAGCTAACGCTAATACAACAATTGATCAACAAAACTCGGAAGTCTATATCGATCTATACAAACCTACTGATAAACAATATCGACTCATTGTAGCAAGTTTATTAGAATGGATAGTTGAAGATTTGCAACCACTTAATGTCGTCAATACTCCAACATTTATTAATATTAGACAATCGATTTTCTATGCCATGTGTCAGTGTTATACATGTACATCGTTTCGGGATTCACGTGTTTATTTGTAATTACGTATTTATTTTATTCATACGTATCAATATAAAGATGATTCTCGAAAATCTACTTTTAGGATAACAAAAAACGCAGTAATGTCATTTTGTTACTTTCTTGATCCTAGCAATTTGTTGTCGACGTTTACCATTACTACTAATCTAACGTTAGCGTTAGTACGTTATGTTATACGTCGTTTCGGGATTCACGTCAATTCCGAATTGACGTACGTCGTTTCAGAATTCCAAAATGACGTGCTGCTATACGTCGTTTCGGAATTCACGTCAATTCGGAATTGATAACGATAAAAAGATAATTTACATGTACAAATAGTAAAGGCATCCGTACCATTAGTAAAAAATCTTTAAAAATTTACTATAACGAGAGGATTTATTATAGACTGGTTTTGGACGAACTTTACTATATCAAGAGTTTAATATTAGTCTTTACTATAACGAGAGTTTACTATAACGAGAGTCACTTGTATAAAGTAATTGCTATTTTCTTCGAATAAAGCGCAGTATTTTTCTTTGATATTGCCTTATTTTGTTGGAAGTTTTTTATCATGAATCTTTAGTTTTTCTTGCAAGTTACTCGAAATCTCTTCGTTCTCTTGGATTCATGCGGTATACTAAAATCGAGATCGCTTGGAACAAACAAACTGACACTTGTCAACCCTAAACATTCGATATAAATTTTAATTAACGTGAAACGATAATATGATTTATATTTCAAAATATAAAGTAGTCACAAGCTAACTCACAGATGCTTTTACATATTCAGGATTTTTGTTTTCAATGAAATTGAGGGGTTTTTTGGTGCGTGGTCCACGAAGACTCCTTAAGCTTTTTTAGTTTCTCCTTTACACATTGTCACTTTGGTTCTCCTTCGAAATAATCAGCCAACCTATACAAATAAAAAAACCATAATATAATAATATTAAATTTATTAAGCAATAGATACAGATTAAATGTTCTCACTTGCTTTGTTCGAGAGCGCTGACGATTAAAATTGCGGTAAACCACAAAATTTATGGTTTCTTAACTCACCATTTTTTTCAATATATTTCTAAACTCTCCTTAAAACTCATTATCCTTTTAAAAGAGCAGTGTCTCATCATATAGTATTCTTCCACTATTAGTTGCAAGATATTCACCAAGTGGAATGAGAATACGCGACATGAACACTAATGTAAATTTACGGTTTGGTTGCTTCCATACTTTGATGAATATGTTGATTTTCTGGGTTCATTATTTACTATAACTTGATGGTTGTTGTTGGTTACCTCCATACTTTGTTATTCAGCGAGTTTATTTTTTTGGATTCTTTATTTATTATTCAGCAAGTTGATTCTAAAAGTGATTTTTTCGTGGCATTTACAAATAATACTCTTACACTTTATGCATATATCCTGCGTAACAAATCGGTAAAATGTGTTTCCAATGGAAACACTCAGGAAAAAAATCAACCCGAGTGAAAAAAATAACGATATATGCAAAATGATTCATGAAATAGAGGATGTTCCATTAGGAATTTTTTGGTGTAACTTGCAGCGAACCAATTAGAAATTCAATATCGCGTTGCGTAGTTTTTTAAACGGCAAGTAATATACGTAATGATAATGAGAACATTATAATTGATGTAATTATTGTAGCATATGACTAGGAATTGTACTTGTTGACTCCAAACGACGTTTTTGGGTTAGCGTTAGGGAAGATGAATACTATTGTTTGATAGACAGAACATTTTATGATATTCAAATGACATTTACTACTCTTATTGTAGTAATCCCGTACCAGATAAAAACGCATTCACTACAACGGTGAGTATTTTAGAATTCACTTTATAAAATCCGTGTTTTATTTAAAACTTTGAAAT